GAAGATTACAAGACATTTCCCCAAACAAATCTTAACTTCTGTACCAGGAGACTGAGTCGCGTCAAATGTCATGTCACATGTCACTTGTCTGGATCGCATTCGTCGCATGACACGTCATCTAATCGTGAGCGACGGACGTGCGCACCGAGGTTATTCTAATGCCATTAGGTTTGCCTCTTTTCTTTGCCGTAGTCGACGTACTTCTGTTTCGTGGCCGTTTTTGTGGTCACTGAAAGTAATGGTTTTTGATGTTGTGTGGGTTAGTGTGGCCTTCACCGCTCCCATCCCCAATCTGAAGGCCCGAGGTGTGTGTTGGGAATTAATGGGTTGTGTTGGGAAAAATAAAAAGAACTTAATGAAAATGTTGCAGAAAACATTGCTGAAGTGACGGTTTCTATAGTTAGAGATGTATTAAAGGAGGACTTAATTTATATTCGATCACACTTCAACTGTATTTTCATAACCATCACAGCGCTCGAACAAAATCACGTGCCACTTGTCACAAATATATATGTAATAGAAACTCTGTTACTAAAGCTTAAATATGCGCCAGGAAAATTGCGAAAGTTTTACTAGAAAAATTGAACTAGGTACTCGAAAAAATCCGGGTTCTCGTACATGGCATCATAATGCCAATATCGTCTCTGGTAAAACGCAGACTAAATTGACAGACATTGAAGAAACAGTGTCGCTGGAAGAATTAGCAAACGTTAAACATGTGCCATTAACATCTGTAGTGGCTGACCGTTGCTTTTCCCAGTACAAATAAATTTTGTGAAGCAACAGGGAATAGTTTCTGTTTTCAAACCTTACAATTATGACTGTTATACACTGTAAAGGAAAAACAATTAAGTGACCAGCAACAGTTTCGGTCCATAACTCAAGTGAGTTTTGTCATAATTAGCATTGTTTAGGGAGACTATTTAATTTAGATTTTCTATGACAATTATAACGACGAAAATAATTAATAATGGTAATTTCATCTTTTTATGAGGTTTTGTATAGTACATATTTTGTGCACTGTTAATGCATATAACCTGTTTTAAATCACATAATTGCATACATATTTTACATTTTTTAATGCATCCAAGTCCTACTGATAATCTAGTCGCCTTGGTTCAGGAGGAATCCTGCATATCCACAGACCGTTCCACTATTCACCGCGTTGCGGACCCACACAGTAGCAGAGCCGTGCCCTGGGTACTATACGAGGAAGAGTATTTTTTTAAGAACTGGAGTTATTCATTGCTGGATGCGCTGGAACTGGGTTGCTTGTACATTGCGCTGGATTCCAAATCTCTTGTTGGCTTCCTAACAAGAAATTGGCTCAATCGTGTTAAGCCGTCGAAGAAAAGTTGTGAAATACATTAACATTCTATGTTCGTTTGCTTTAAATATCCAACCTGGAACCGTCTGGACAGAAACAGCGCGAAAACGTTTCAGAAAACTCCAAAGATGTGCAGCTTTTTGTATTTCACAAACAAAACATTATAACGGACGTTTCCTAAAAATTCCGCTCGACTTGAGCCAAGTTTTGCCACGTGTCTGCACCCCTCTCTTTCACCACTTTCCCGCCCGCAACCCCCTTTCTTCGAGGCACATTGTGCTCTAAGTTGGAGCCTGGCGAGGCAGAGTTAGGTTAATTCTCAGGCGCCGACAAGCCGCTTAGTCAAAGTCTTACAAAAGGGCGCCTCTCGACTTTATCATTAACCTGCGCTTCGTCTAATCCCGCGCTGGCCTCTTTTGTGAAATGTTGGGGGGGAGGAGGGAGGGAGGGAGGGGCGCGGAGGAAGGTGGGGAAGAGAGCGAGGAATGGGGGGCAGAAGACGCAACCTCCTGCGGTCGCGTTTCGGTGAACGAGCGAGACCTTCAGCCGCCGCTCCGCCTCCCTTCTCTTCCAAGGCTTCAGCCGCTCCTCCTCCTCCGCTTCTCTTCACGGCTTCACCGCTGATCTCGACTCACTTCTCTCACGGCTTCAGCCGCTGATCTCTCTCCCTTCTCTTCACGGCTTCAGCCGCTCCTCCCCCTCTTTTCTCTTCAGGGAAAATAATCAAAACTATGCGGTCCTAAAATAGCATGCACTTTCTCACATTATTTCGCATTTGGCAGTGTTCGAAAACACGTATAATAATTTAACATTAAAATAGGTAATGTTACGGGAATGGGTATCATGTGTTCCCTACATATTAAATTCGCTATTTTTGATGTGTCGTTTCTCAAATTTGCTTAAGTAATATTATATTTCTCACACTTAAAGATACAGCCATTGTTATTATTTTGACATTATTGAGTTGATAAAAAATAATTAGTTATGTATTCAATTGAACTATAGCCCAAATTTTTGAAAAAGAAGATTTTTTAAAATATTTTTATTTCCTCTCTGCCGTTACCGCGGTGTAAAGATTGTTATGTAAAACAGCGCGGAAAAACTGTTATTTTTCCGCGGAAAGAGTCTTATTACATCGCAGTGGTAAAGAAAAAATGGATAATTCCTGTTGCGAAATGTAAAAAAAAATCTTCAAACACGTGGTGTAGCCAGAATCCATGTTTCTTGAGTCCTTCACACCGCAAAATCGCATGTCAGCAAAACGTCTGTCCGTCCATCCGTCAAGAACAGCCTCTAGCGGCCAAACTGTTCGGCCGATTTTCTCCAAAATTAATATTTCATAACCAAAGTGACTGATGTCGTGGTCTCTTGAATTTGAAACCAATATTTTAATTTTGAGGGTACTTTACATTAAGCCCCCGCAACATTTTCCAAATAAAATAAAAATGACCAACGTTTTTGATTAATTTTTGCCGGTAACCGTAATAGATGCTTAACAAAAATGTGCAGATCTCGTGTTCGTGAAAAAGTCTATTTTTGAAAATTGCCAAACTTCGTTTCCGGAGTCTTTCTACAACTACAATGTTTACGATAGTGAGTTTGCCCATAATGAATTCTGTTCCCTATTTGGAAAGAAGGTCATTTACAATTTTTCGAAAATTTCTGCACTTTCCGCGTAATTTTGCGTAAAAATACGGACACGAAAATACCTGATGTATAAGCACCACTAGTTTTGTTTCGCGACCGTTGCTTAACCGTGGAAAAAATACTTAATAAAACTGTAACATTACAATTTATTATGCTGACAAAGTCCCTTTGGCACAAACGATTAGCTCTAAAACCGCAATTTTGTGCTATTATTGTGCTTTTCAAATATTGTCTATTTTCCTTCCTATGTTTCAAAAGTTTAGATGCTTTCCTGGTGTAATGTAAGTTTGCAAAGCCACTTCGGCAAACGTAATTTTCATTATATCGAACATATTGTGGTATTTTTGGGTTTTCTAACTACAGTAATATTACTTGTTAATATAATGTTACTTTCACCTTTTTTCCGGAAATTGAAAAGAACGTCTTTACACTGTGAGGACCCGGAGCATTACCAATGCGTAAAATACGCTTTCTTAAAGTAAAAATATCCAGAAAACGTGTTCCCCTTGCGCAACAATGACCACAAGACATTACACTAAACAACTTAAGTGTTTTCGATTTTTTCACTACTTAGATTATTCTCAGTGAATCCATTTTTACATTCCCGTATACGTATGTATGTACGAAGTAATATGTTATGTAATGCTGCGGAAAATCGATTTCAAGATTTCAACGGAAATACACGATTTGGGATCCCCTGATACCGAAAAAGTGTTGTTATTTCAAAACGTCCGTCTGTCTGGCCGTCCGTCTGGTGTCTGTGAACGCTTCTAGCGCGTAAACCATGAGTAGTAATTTTTCCCAATTGAAGAAACCCGCGTCGATCTGTGTCGAGTCGAATCTTTGAGATTTTGAAAAAAAATCTTTAAAATTTAGAGGTACTTTAAATGAAGCCCTCCGGACATTATCAAATTTTCTGAAAAGAGGCTCCTAAGTTTTTCTTTAAATTTCTTGTAAGAATAGAGGAACATATACTTATAAAGGTGGCATAGATCCCATTTTCACTGTAAAATTTTGTTTTTTCGGTGTCTTCCTACAACATCTAAATTGAAGAAAGAGATTTTCTCCTTCAAAAAATTTGTTTTCAATAGTACGTTCTTTCATTAATATCATGTAAATTTTTTGAAAATTTCAATAGTTTTCGCGCAATACTGTGTGCAATATGTGGAATTTAAAAAAATACTAATACAGATTTTCTGAAAAATTGCTCCAATTTTCTTTTTAAACTTTAGGAAAGGATAGTTCTAAATGTTGTATATAAGATGATATACACGCCATATTGCTCTATTCTTTTGTTTTTCAAAAATTACGAAAATGTAATTTTATTGACTTGCTTTCATATTTAATATATGATTTATAGTTAAAATTTATAGTTGAGGCAATTTGTTCACATTATGTATTTATGAGTGCATGTGCTTTAAATAATGTCATACAAAATTCTCGAAAACTGTTTTCTGTGCAAACAAGCTCAAAACTCCGCATTTTTAGAAACGCTCAAACGCCATTTTCTCAAAAACGTCTCCAAATTTTTTCTTCAAACACTTCGAACGGATATAGTGGTAATTTCACTTTTTAATATAAGTAAATTTAATTTCGGTGTATGTTTTTGTTTTTGAAAAAATTACACAAATGTAATTTTTTGAAAGATCTCTCACGCCGTTGATATTAACTGTGTGCTCAGCGCGCTGTGTTCTGAGTGTGTTGTGTGCTTGTGTTCTGCGCAGGCCTGTTTTGCCGGAAGTGTGCTGAGCGTGTTTTGTATGCCTGTGTGCTGAGGTGTTGTGTGCGGTGTGCTGAGTGGTGTTGAGCTGCGGTGTGCTGAGTGTGTTGTGAGCCGTGTGCTGAGCGTGTTGTATGCTCTGTGCTGAGCGTGTTTGTGCCGGTGCTGACGTGCTGTGTGCTGAGCGTGTTTACTGTGCCGCGTGCTGACGTGCCGCGTGTCTGTGCTGCTGTAATGCTGAGCGTGTTTGTGTGCTGGGCGGTGTTGAGTGCTGTGTGTTGAGCGTGTTGTGTGCTGTGGCGCTGTATGCTGAGCGGGTTGTGTGCCCGTGTGCTGAGCGTGCTGTGTGCCCGCGTGCGAGCGTGCCGTGTGCTGTGTTGCAGCTGCGAGCCTGCCAAGCGCGATGCGGAGCGCGAGCGCCGCCTTCGCGGCTGGATGCCGAACTGTGTGCTGTGCGTGCTTGAGTGCTGTGTGTGAAGCGTGTTGTGTGCTGTGTGCTGTATGCTGAGCCGTGTTGTGTGGCTGACCGTGTTGTGTGCTGTGGTGCTGAGCGTGTCTATGTGCCGTGTGCTGAGCGTGCCATGTGCTGTGTGCTGTATGCTGAGTGTGTTGTGTGCTGAGCGTGTTGTGTGCTGTGCGTGTTGAGTGCTGTGTGTTGAGCGTGTTGTGTGCTGTGTGCTGTATGCTGAGCGTGTTGTGTGCTGAGCGTGTTGTGTGCTGTGTGCTGTGTGCTGAGCGTGTTATGTGCCGCGTGCTGAGCGTGCCGTGTGCTGGGTTGCAGCGCGAGGCCCTGCAGCGCGATGCGGAGCGCGAGCGCCGCCTGCGGCTGGATGCCGAGCTGCGCCTTCGCGACTGCTCCGCGGAGGCCGAGCGCTGCCGGGGGCGCCTCTCCTCGCTGCAGCGCGAGGTCCACAGGTGAGCGAACCCTGCATTCCATGGGCGGCGCCCGTCACACGACGCACTACCGAGCGCCGAAAGCTTCCCCCGCCCACGTTGCTAGAACTCTAGGTATCTTCATTGTGTGGTTAGCCACAGAAATGTACGTAAGGTTGTGCACGTACCAATTTGCCGTATATGTAACACTCTGCGCCCAATAGACTACGCATTTGTAGTTATGTCAATGATAGTTTCCGTGCTTTAATATCTAATGTTGTAAATAATGAGTACAAAATCCTTGTCTTCAAGCATTTAAATTTTGTTTGGAGCATTTAGGTATCATGATGGATTCTGTAGGTATATTTTCGATGGAACTGCTATGGAAATATCCAGTGCATATTCTATAATTTAGTTGTATACATCTTCCAGTTTCTGGTTATTCTTTCTTTGCTGATGCATACAGCTAGCATAATAGCCCCATAGACAATTTTTTGATCGTATTAATGGTTTATAGGACAAGAAAATAAGGTTCTAATCAGCTCCCCAATTGTAAGAAATTCATTTAGGAATTTTAAATATTTTCTTACAATAATCAACTATGTGTTGTAAATGTTTCTTCCAAGTTGGAGTGGAAAAGTCACTCCTAAAATGTTGTAGTTGTCAAATTTGATACTGCACTTGGTAAACTTTAGTCAGGGAACTCTGCTTTCATTATATTTTGAGAATAGAATGCCCACTCTTTCCTGACAATGAGCAGAGAACATGAAACCGGAACGGGTTTAAGAGACCATCCATTTTCCTTAAGGTACAGGGCATTAAATTACTCTTGAATCTATATTTTGTTCTTTGGTGATTAAAGTTGATGTCATCAGCATATTTTCTAACAGTGACAGGGGGTCAGAAAGTCTGCAAAGCAGTTAGTCAGCAAATTGTTGGCTACCTCGTTGGCAATAGCATCAGGATAGGTTATGAACTGCTTATCTGCAGACTGCACGAGATTAATTTGATTTGATTTTTTCACCTTTTATTGCATTAATTTTTTCCATGAGTCTTTGATGTAATTATCTTTAGTAATATTGGTCACGAAATTGAATATGAGTGCTCCGTGCGCTTTGTAATTTAGTTTCGTTACGCACTTGCGTTCCAGTGAACACAGAGCCAAGGGGGCCCTTAAAAGTTTGCGAGATACCCCGTACACCACCGTAATAAATAATTATATTTCCGTAAATATGATCAGCTCCTTTTCCTCTTTTAAAGCTGGTATTTTGGTGAATTCATATCGGAAATTTCCAAATCATCTAGCAACTCTGTAAAAGATTCAACATAAATCAATGTAAATGTTAATTGCATTATTAACTTTGTTTCAATCTCCATGTAGTTCAAAGACGTTTGATTAAAATTAAACTAGACTCACTGAGAGCGTCGCGGAATAAATTGAAGGCTGCCAATGTAGCGTGAAACGTGCATAACCTCGTAGATTGCTTGATTGTTAGTGATTCCAGGAACGTCAATTACTAAGGTCATTAGTCTCGTAAGTGTAGTGAGTGTTTTTGCTTGTGTAATGGTGGTGGTGGTAATCTTGCCCCGCTGTCTGGCGAGATCCCGGGCCAACCTATCGTCGGCTAGCGGGGTTTTCCTCAACCAGGTATCTTCAGTGGGCACCGCCCCAGCCGCGACAAGCTCTAAGCTCCCGACAGTTCTTCCAACGTGTATGGTAGTGTAGTGTATGTGTGTGTGTTTAAAGGGTTAGTTTAGGATAAGTAATAAGAAGGGACGATCGCGCGCGGTCCGTGTCCCGTTTGTTAGGGTTCTGCTCCGGCATTCGCCTGGTGTTGATCGGAGAGACCCCGGAAAATTACCGATTAGAGCAGCCGGCCTCTGGAATTTGAAACTCGCGCGCAAAGCATCCACTGCCATGGCGGCCGCGGCCTCTTTCGACGTACGAGTATATCCTGGGTCCAGAAATGTCAGTCCACAGAATTGTAGGGGGTCGGTGTAGTATGCTTTATTTACTAGAAAATATATTAATGTTAAGAGAAATATTTAAAGGAAAGGGGGCCTAGAAAAGCCCTAAAATGTATTTCCTCCCTCTTATTTTAAGCCAACGCATGTGCATTAGAAACAATATTACATGTACATAACAAAATAGTAGGAAATTTGGTGTTAGGTTCGTTTCTGATGTCATCGGTGAGTTTAACTTATGTTTCACTTAATTGCTCCTGTCATTTCTGTCGAGTTGTAGATCAAATCTAACAGTTATATGTTGGGTCAAGCTAGCTCACACAGTTTTTCTTTTTCTTCACCTTAATACATCGTAATTAATATCAATTTTTTTCTGTTAATTCGCAATAAATTATAATTTAATCAATAAATTATATAACAACCTGATAACTATTAGGTAGTTTTTGTCCATTTGCCCATAATATATAACTTATGGGTGTACTGCGGCCTGTCAAGCGAACTCTACTATTTTTCTCTACGAAAATACGTGGCAATAAATTCCAAATTGTGCCATTTAATAAGCATTAATTTTTTTTATTAGATGATTCGGGTGTGCTGACGTGTTTCCAAATTGTCACAGCTACCGAACCCGCGCCTTCCCGTGTGAGGAAAGACAGGGGCAGCATTTCGTTCCGTTACTCATGACGGTATCACGGGTTGCCTATCCTCGCAGCCAGGGGCGCCGTCGGCCTCGCTACCCGCCAGCTCGCTGAAATACTTTCCCAAAAAACTGCTCCTTTGTAAACGAACATCGAAAATGCAATGATTTCGCCAGTGTGATGTTTTACTTTTCTATAAAATCCGTAAGAGCGTTCGAGAGCCGTCTGCGTCAGTCGTGGAGAGAGGACCTGCGTTTGGGAGCTCTGCGGAAGAGCCAAATGGGCTGCTGCGTGGCGCTCTGCGCCTGGGCGGCGCCCCTGCCACTCCTCCGCGCCGCATCCGATCTCAGGCTGTGGTTTCTTGAAGGAGAATTACTTGAAGTGTGTCGACTTGGCTATTGTTTCATACGTTGCATAAGTCTGTTGAAAACGGTCGCACTCTACAGTCCTTTTTACACGGTCATTTTTTCATTCTTTTCTTTCGTCATTTTTCTGAAGAGAAATTGGATGGAAAAACGACGTTCGTTGCTACGCGTTATGTTTCGATGCCCAAACTGAACGAAAGTGATTCGAGCGTTTTAGACGGTCATTTCTGGTCTGTACATAATCGTGATGAAAACACCTTCTTCGAACGCCGCAAAAAGCGCTGAAAATCAAACATTTCAACATTGCAACTACGGTAACAAATTAAGTTAGGTTACATTAAGACTGAGCATGGAACACTACGACATTACAACAAAGTACATAATGTATTTCTCACTACATATTCACTTCACATTACAATTCAACACATCAAAATGCTGACAAAAAGTGTACACAAGAAACAAATTACACAACAAGCGTAACAAACCAGAGTGTGTTCCGAAATATTACGCTAGGAGCGCGATAGTGAAACTGGATGAAATCTGCACCGAAAAATTAAGCATGCGTCATTTTTTCTTACAAATTTCATTGTCTGGTCCGTCATTTTTCTGTACTGGCGAAAAATGATGAAAAATGATCATGTTAAACAGGCTTGACAGAGAATTGATCAAAATTCAGTTTGTGAGAATACAACACTTGACGTACTTTTCCCAGTATTTGGAGGTAATTTGCACGAGAAAAATGCTACAAGATATAATTAACTCTAATTCATACATTAATGCTGAAAGGAATTAGAGCTGAACGTAAATAATATCGTTTGCCAGTCGTATTTCTGTAAGCTCCTTATTCACGCGTTTTGTTGCCTGTATTCGAATTTTCGTGCCGTTACTATTCGAAAATGTCCTTCGTCCCAGTACGGCATCGAGCAATGCCATTCCAGGAATAATTTGTCTGTTTCTCCTCGCCGGGTATGACCAAACTTCTCGCATCCCCCCATCCTCGGAAGTGCCCACTTGCGGCCGTTGCAAATCATGAAACGGTAAAGACTCATTCACAATACAAACATAAACATATACATGGTGTTAACATAAAATTTAGGACTATAAGCGACTATTATCTATAAGCGACTCATTCACAACGCGTTCGCATGAGCATAACACGTAAGACGTTAACTTGAAAGCTTGCAAGCTTCTGTGATTATGCTTAAAAATAAGGACCGAGCCAATCACAGTAAGTTAATTCAAAATGAAGTATTGAAATAGGATCGAAGTCGATAGATCGAGCAAAATACTTGTTTTTCAGATTGTGTCGTTGACTTTCGGCGGTTTTGTTCTTGGTTTTGTAGCGTAGGATCTTTTAACTTTCCCGTATATGTACATGTATGGGGTATAATATACGTAGTATAGGGAAAGTTATATAATGCTGCGGAAAGTCGATTTCGAGATTTCAACGGAAATACACGTTATGGGTTTCCCTGATAACGAAAAAGTGTGTTTTTTATCAAAACGTCCGTTCGTCTGTCTGTCCGTCCGTCTGTGAACGTTACTAGCGTCAAACCATACGTAGGATTTTTTTCAGCATTTAAGAAACCCCTGCCATCTGGCTCCAGTAGAAACTTTGAGATTTTAACATTGTTCAAAATTCAGTAAAAATCTAACACCCTTCATGCGAAAATTATAGAACAATTCGTCCCAAGTTACTAAAATTCTCATCACAGAACCTAATAAAAGGTAAAACTGGACATAATTTGGAGAATTTTGGAGAAGTACGCATTCTCGGGTTGAAGTTATTCGATTTATGTGAAAAAAAACTAATGCATGTTCTACAAATTACACTGTCGAGAAAATGTGATTGTTATTTGCTGAGAGGTGGGGTTTCCTGAGGAGTAAATTATGTTTTTCTTACTACTGATCACTCGGCACAAGAGTGAAATAATCGCAGGTAATATAACGAATCCTTTGAAATTGTCGATAAATCCTCTCCTCACGAGCCGTGGAGGGGATTTATCTGATAATTCGCAAACCACGAGTGGTATTTATTAGAACTATTTCACAAATGAAATTATATCCAACAGAGTTCCAAAATGCGGTAAATATTAAAAATAACTGAACGCTAAGTTAAAATCAAAGCATAATGTTATATTACATACGCGGTTTACTGGACATCGATATAGCAATCTATGTACACCGCTTCCTAAAATTAAAATAGATGAGTCACAGTTTATGATTGGCCAGTTTGGAGTAGCGGTGAGAAAAATCGGATAGAAAAGGCGATAAACGTTTTGAACCGCCCTGAATGGGGTACCATTGTGTATGCATAGTTAAACACAATTGATTTTAATTTCCCAAGTAGAATAGTTTTTCTAATGTTTTATTATTTTCCTTCCTGTGAACTCCTGCAGAGTGAATTGGTAGTACATTCATTTTCAGAATGTCGGTATTTCTTAATCGTATTTTCATATTTGGTAGTTTCATTGCCAGTAGAGTGGGCAGTTCCTGAAGTATCATGATTTAACTATTGTATGCAGCTCACTGACCGCTCTTTCTACATGACTTGATTCGCTTGGGAGCAAAATTCAATTTTTGGAAAAAGGCCGAGTGCAATATTTTTATTACGAAACTTATCATACGTTACACTCATTGTGTAACACCTGTGAGGGCGATAGAGTTGTAATAGATACTTCAATTATATTATAAGTATTTCTGAATATCTCTCGTCCTTTTGAAAATGCGGAATTCCAGTGTTTCGTGGATGTTGAAAACTTTTTGTGACAATAGTGTCTGCATTATATTTATGTTAATACATTTTATTGCTTGATTTTTATTCAGCTTATACTTCTTAAAACTAAACTATTTTATTATGAGAATTCTGATGCGATATTGTTGACGTAATTGCGTGAAGAACTAATGGAAGTCCCGTCCGTCAACTATTTAAAGACAGTCTTTCGACTTTTGCCACACCCAGCAACACTGACGATGACGACAAAGCTGTCGAAAACCGGCTGTACAAAAATATATTAAGTTGACGGAGGTGATTTCCATAATTTCTTCCTAAATTATTTTATCTTAAATATCTGTGTTCTCGTCTCAAACTCCTTCAGTATTATTGCATTTTTCTATAATTTTTATTCACGTGCAATAAACCACTGGGATATATATTCACAAACAAGAGTTAACTAATATGTTTTGTAGTTGTCTAAAAAATCTGCGTAACGATTTTCCCAATTTCATCATGCAAATTTTACGCGTAAAATAACAAACAGTCATATTTACCTAACTTTGTGTGTGCAATACGAAGAGAAATATTTAGTTCATACAATTAATCATGTAGTAGATTCAACTAAACGGTTTTGAATATTTTGGAAGAATCAAGTGCTTAGTCACGTTCACGAAACTGCTGTTTAGTTAAACACACTACTGCACGTAGATTAACGCTCAGTAAACAGGTCGTACCCCTGGAAGAATGGCATCTCATGGAGATAACTAAACGAATCGTTGCGTTGAATAATATTTACTAACCACATTGCAGTGAAAAAAACTAAACGGATATTTGCTTTTCATATGATACCAAACGCAGCTGAGTCAGTCTTAATAAGGAGAAAGGTGAAAGAGAATTATTTCTTTCTATCCCTTCAGGCAAGAAACAACCGAGGTTCCGGTGCGGTCACCCTTCCGACGGCCCATGGACTCATTACTTCCCTAACCTGGGTTCCCTGACAGAACAGTCATGGAACCATTTGCCATCGCCATTTGCCGACCTGTGGCAACCGATATATCTACCATGAGTTTAGAATATAACACAAATATTTAAAATGAATAGAAACTGAATACGCCAGTTATGCAGGGTATAAAACTATATACAACGTTGACTTCTCACTGGTCACATGGGCGCTATAACCATTAGAAGTGGTCCGATTGCAAAGATCACGCGCTTGCTGTTTACGCGCGCACTGTTTAGTAAGTGGCATGAAACGTACATCACACGGATTGCTTTTATCTACGAAACAATTTTAGTACCACTAACAGTTCTCTTTGTTAATTTACTTACGATTTTCTATTGCCTGATTTACTAAACGAAACGAAATCTTGTTTAGTTAATCAGCGGATGGCGGCCGGCTGTTTCTTAGGCGCTAAGCTCGTCTCTCTCCGGCCGTTCTTCTGTCTTTCGGCTCGCACGGGCTCCGGGATTACGCCCCGCCCCGCCCGCCCCGCCCCCGACCTCACCCCGCCCCGTCCGCCCCCCGCCCCTTGGCGGCACGAGCTGAAGGTTTGTAGCGGGGCGGAGGCCGGGACTCTAGCAAAGCTTGTTCACTGGCAGAAATGTGCTAAACATGGTTAGTAAGCGATCATTATAGTAAATTGCAATTATTCGCTGTGGTAGATTAACTAAAACAAGATTTCGTTTCGTTTAGAAATCAGGCAATAGAAAACCGTTAAGTAAATGAAACAAGAGAACGGTTAGTGGTACTAAAATTGTTTCGTAGATTAAAAGCAATCCGCTGAATGTCTGTACGTTTCATGCCACTTACTAAACAGTGCGCGCGTAAACAGCAAGCGCTGATCTCTGCCAATCTGACACGTCGATATGGTTATAGCTGCCATGTGACCAGTGAGAAGTTCAACGCTTTGGTATATAGTTTTATAACCCTGCATTTAACTGGCGTATTCCAGTTTATTCATTTTAAATATTTGGTGTTATATTCATAAACTCATGGTAGAAATTACAGTATTGCCATAGGCAAAATTTGTTGCCTCCAGGCTGCTCGTGTCTTAGGTAAATTGACTGTTTATTATTTTACGTGTAAAATTTGCGTAATTAATTAGGAAAAATCTGTGCAGATTTTTAGAGAACTAACAAACATTATTAGTTCACTCTTGTGTGTGAATATATATCCCAGTGGTTTATTGCACGCGAATAAAAAATTATAGAAAAATATAATTATTAATTAAATATAATAATATTGAAGAGTTTGAGACAAGAACCACAGATATTTGAGATAAAG